CGATTCTAATTTCGATGGGGTGTAACATATTTGATAAAAGTTCTCGAATCGAGATATTTGAAGACAGTGGAAGTGTGTACCTTTCTTCGATTTTGACTTGTCCCGCAACACAAGAGAAGGTTGAGTAGTCGGTTCGGCGAACTTCATCAAAAGTAGCATGACTACTCGAGAACCAACCTGCCCACCATTGAGAAAAACCCACAGTAGATAAATAATTCGAATCGAAAGCATAGGGGTAAAAGTGCATCGGGATTTTAGGTAAAAGCTTGAGAAGCTCCCGATTAAGTGAAGATTCGGTTAATTTGGACTTGGGGGATGTATCGAGGGGGAAGAAAGGTAGGGATTGGCTTAGACCAAACCGCCTCGAAAGAAACTGCGGGTAATAAGTAATAAACTTGAAATCCTTAGGCCGAAAACCCGATAATAATATATCATGGGTCAAATAACTACTCCATATGTCGACCAGCTCCAATTGTAACCCGGAGACGAAGCTGGGAATTTTGACTTAAACCAAACTGGTCCCCTAAGTTGACCATTTATTTGTCCAAGATTTACTGTAAACGGGGCCAAGGTCGAATCAAAGGAGGATCTAGTCAACAAAAAGTGGAGGTATTTACAATAGGTAGCCTCATCGGTCTTTTGGCGAGGATGGCGGGAGGATAATCGGGCCCCTTCTATATTTATACTTGGGGGAACAAGAGAAATACGAGGAAGGATACTTTCAAATATCGAAATTAACCATAATTGAATAAACCAAACAGGGCATGAAAAATTCCCCGATGCCTTAGGGGTACTCAAAATATCGACAGCTTCGTCGAAAGCAGTATATACATGTGCTAATAAAGTTTTGGCTAAACAAAGTCTAGGGTGGCCTAGGTGAAGGAGATATGCAAGATTGAACAAATGGGGGAAATTTGGATTGAACGGGGCAAAAAACATGAGTACATAACCAATACACCAAAAATGCTACGTGTTCTTCGTCAAGAATCGCTATCGAGGGTCATCAGCAAAGTGTTTCTCGAGAAAATGTCCATAGGCCTTCGACTCCCAATCAATTTTCGACCTCAATGAATTATCTCGAGGGATATGCACCCGAAAATACCTCTCCCCTATGGGTTTCAACCCGAGTAATAGCAGCTATCTCGAAAAGGGTGGGCGACACAGGGCCACAAGGCAACTCCAAAACATGTAAGTCTTGATTCCATAAATGCACTCGCAGATAAGAACATCGCCATGTCCAAATGAGACAGTCACATCGGACAGAGTGCAAAAATCGAAAATACCAAGCACTCCTCCAGTGATCCCCAAACTTAGCCTTGACCCTATCAAACCATCGAATATACGAGAGGTTTTTTGGAAGGAGGGCCCGTTCTATACACTTTAGAAGTAAGATTCGGAAAATCAACCCTAACTTCAGTGTCGATGAACCAAAGCCGGACTAGTCGAGAGGTTAAGAGGAGTAAAAATGTCATCGATAGGACGGAGTGGACCCCCAAAAGCAAAATTAACCCCATCAACGAGTGTAAGGGATTAGTACTCGCGTTTCAAGCAATTTTTCGGAAGCCTCCTCCATCAAAGGGACTGGAGCGAACTTCCGGTTGTTAATTTCCAGCAGGTTAAAAGGCATCGAGGAAAGAGGTGGAACGGAAAAGTCGGAAGACTTGGAGGAAGTGGCCATTTCAGTAGTGAGTAGGATGAAGAAAAGCAACGGAAAAGATGAAGGTATAGAGATGAAAGCAAGAGCTCAAGGAAGACGATGAAAGTACGGACTTAGGGTAAAAGTTCGCATAAAAACCAGAACAAAGACCAAGAGAAAGGTTAAAAGAGAAAATCTCCTAGGGAGCTGGAACGACAGATACGAAAAGTAATGAATATAATGTACCGTAAAAGCAACATGATCGATATGATAGCGACGTAAAACTGAAAGGGAAACCTAAAACCCTTTTAACCCTAGAACCCCGTAAACCCTAAACCCTAAAGTTCTATGGGCCTCCGAACACTTAGGCGGGAAATGTTGAAAGAATATAAATAAACTATTCATATTCTTCCAAGGGGGCATTTTGTTAGTGTGGAATCGAGAAGCTCGATCGAGAAATGAATCGAAAGGGAACTTTCCCGATGTCCGATTATAAAGAACGTGACACATAAAATCGAAAGGTAAAATCGGAAGAGAAGGTGTAATAGTCGAAAGCTTAACATGGAGTTAAAGTTAAAATAAATCGATACCAAGGATGCAAAGTTCTCGATTAAATCAAAGGGAAGGCTCGTTTTCGTAGATATCATAACCTCGGTTAAACCTTGAAGGAAAATAGTCAAAACGCACGCATGGAAAGCAGTTTCTAAGTTATGGAAGAGCCAAAAATCATGGGAACGTGGGGAAACAATAGAAGAAAAATCGCCATACGCACGTAGAACGTGGTAACAGTCGTGTTAACTGTTCTTGGAAGGCTTGAAAGATGCCCTATAAATAGAGCAAAGAAGGAAGGAACGGGGAAATTGGCAGAGAACGGAATCAGTAGTGAAAAGTCTACCGGAGAAACGACGAACACCATGAAGTTTCGGCAATCTGGATTTCCTTGCTCACTCGAGTACATTTATCGCTTTCTATATTTTCCTTGGTAATTTACTTTCGAGCCATTTCAATTCAACGAATTTCATATTCTTGTAGATTACATTCAATGACATTTCGATTTCCTGTTATTTACTTTCTGTGCAATTTTAATGGGTTTTAGCAATTTACATTTTCCGCACATTTCGATTTCCTGTTATTTACTTTCTGTGCAATTTTAATGGGTTTTAGCAATTTACATTTTCCGCACATTTCGATTTCCTGTTATTTACTTTCTGTGCAATTTTAATGGGTTTTAGCAATTTACATTTCCCGCACATTTCGATTTTCTGTCCTTTATTTATCTCGCAAACTTAATTTCTTGCAAATTCGGGGTTTTCGCACTTTCTTGCAATTTAATATTCTCTTTGCTCGATTCGATACTTTACTGTTTTGTTTGAGTCAAGCATTTTAGACATAAAATACCAAAAACCACATTTTCGATATCCTGTAGTTTTCAATTCTCATACGCGTTTTCGATTGAAAATCAAATTGCTAGCCTAAGTAAAAAGAACTTACGTGGTAGAATTTTGATTAGGACCAAAACACCCTTAGAATCGAAATCGATCGAAATTCCACCAGAAACACGTCTAAAATAAAAAAACACAAAAAAGTTCATAACACGCTAAAGAGTTTGATCTCCCTCTATTCATTAAAAGATAGAAGTTGTGGAGGATACTTGGCAAGACGCAATGCTGCAGAGGAGACACAAGTAATATGCAAAGCTACAAAAGAGGTGTTGACAACGTATAACGCTGACAACACGAAAAGTTGCAGAGGAGGTTGAGAATTTTAAAAAAACTTATAATTTCTTCTCGTAATATAGTCAATATAAAAGAAAATTGAAAGTTTTATGAAAAATATTACATCGATTATTGAAATAGTCAATGTAATATTTTTTTCAATATTTACAAAATTTTCATCACGTCTTATATTATACAGAGTATTATCGTATTTTATATATATATATATATATATATATATATATATATATATATATATATTATTTCAAACAATTGAATGATTAGTATAGTAAAATAAGAAATCATTGGATTTTGAAAATTTAGCCAGCTTTAGGTATTGACATAAATGAAGAAGAGAAAATCAGGTTGTCTTGTGCATATAAAGTTTCAACACAAAGAATGGTAAACATATACACTGCACATGTGCCACATTTTAATTTTAATAAGAGGAAAGTCATTGCCAGAACAATAACTTTAATTTAGAGAGAAAAACTAAGTTTAAGGACATTTTGTTAAGTGGTAAAAAGTCGATATAATTATATCTTGAATTGTTATGAAATCACTTAACTTATATTAATTTTAATATATTTTTCTCCCAAAATATGATGAATTCGAGAATATCTTGATATAAGAGTAAGGAGCCTAATTGTTAGCATAATTGGAGTAAAATTGAAAGAAAGAAGAGCGCTTAAGCGAATAAATGATGCGAGACCCGACCCAAATTCTCTTATAAAAAAATAAGTTGTGTTTTGAGAAAATGAAGTAGTCTTGGAGGAGAGGAGATACGAATACTGTTAAGGTTTTGTCTAATCTTCATCAATTTTTCACTTCTTCATCAATTGGAGCATTGTAATGACCAACATGAGTGACTAACTTCATTCTCTTAGGATTTGGTGCACTTCCTTTGAACTCTTTTGTATCATGGTGATATTTTGAGATCTTAATCTATGTTTTGATGTTGTTATTCTTATCTTTTATGCTTTGGAATGATTTATTCTTGATTGTTTGAGGTATGATTGGAAAATATATCTTGAACCCTAGATCACGGTAAGAATATTTGTTACGTTAATTGCCAGGAATGGAATGAATGTATCAATTGCTTAACACTCTAACCCTAATGCTAGAAAATCTGTTAATTGTGTGAGGAATCAACATTTATTAGGTTTTTTTATAAATTTCATGTGTAAGGAATCAACATGGATGATTTGAGTAGGTGGCATCAACATTGTTAGGTTAATTGACATAGCCATTACAAAAGAGGGATAAGGAAGGAAGTCAATCCTAAGTACCTTTAATTGATATTTTCTCAACAATTTACAGTTCTTTGTCATTTAATTTCAATTCAACTCTTTATGCAAAACTCATTCTATTTTAATTTACTTAATAAGCATAAAATTGAGAATTTTCATTGAAATTATTTCTCGTGGGATCTACTTTTATTTTATCGAAATATTATACTACAATTGATAATTTTGGTACGTTTGCCAATAATTCAACACATCCCATCACCTAATTTGTTTGAACTATAAAATATTTAACACAATGTTGGTATGAATCGAGCTTTCAAAAACATTCATGCTTCGATAGTCACATTTTACTCCATCTCAATATATTTGCTGCCAAAATCAACAAAAACATGGGACTACAGTTCAGTCACGTTCCCTTTTCCATGTTGTAAACGTGACGGTTCAATGATGATACCACATGTTTACACCAAATCATTGTGGTCTAGTACATCTTTATTATTATTTTTTTTTTTTTGCATTATACATATCATAAATTTTGAATATATATTGTAGAAATATTGATTTAGATCATAAGTAAATCAAATGATTCATCCTCATATTTCAAATTAGGTTTAAGTATTTTATAAAATAGATTTGTAAAATAATTATTTATCATTTATATATTATAATTTAATTCATATAAAATTTATGATACATCTTATATGTCAAATATTAAATATTTTGAATATAAAATTTGTATAAAAGAGATGTGAACATGAAAATAAATTTATTTTGATATTTAATTGAGATAAAATATTAATGAAAATGTATATAATAAATTATAAGATATATTGTTAGCTAATAATATGAGAAATAGAATCGTATAATTTAAAACATTATAAAAAAAATAATATAAATGTGATATTCAAATTTCATCTATATTTTTTATTATATTATAAATCAATTTATTTATATGTTAACTAAGTAGTTTTAAATGTTCATAATGGTTAATTTTCACTAATTTTATTTTTAATTTGGAAAAAATATATTTTTTAATGATATTTTAATCCACTTAAGTTAAAATTAAATAAAAATTATAAAAAAGTTAAAATTATATTAATGCCTAAATCATATTAAAGAGAATTATCTTCTATTTATAATTAATATAATAATATCTACAACCCATTCCACTAAACTCATAATTAAATATTTTAAACAAAAACATTTAAATAACTAAACATGTATAGATGATATATAATAGACCAATAACATATAAATCTAACAACAATATTCTTAAAAGATTAAAATCTACCTAATAACCTCTTCATCTTTTTCACACCAATTCATTTATTCATCTTGTGACTAATGGGTGGAGACTATAAATTAAATCCACAATTATTAGTACAAATTTTCAATGTAAAACAAAGAATTAATTCTAAAGATTCCGGTTCCTTTTTTCTATCTTTGTTCTTAATTATTACTAAAAGAAAAATGACAAATAAATTGAGGACCTCACAGCTTGCATTTTTGACTTAGGGGCTATTATTGACGAAACAGTTAATGCTCGTTTTAAAAATGGTTGATGAATTATTTCTTCATATTTTTCTTAGTTTGCCCAACTTTTAAGGAACCAAATGTCTTCATGTGATTCAATTATTTCATATTCAGATGCAAATAGTGGCCAACAGTAGAAAATATGCTGTTAAACAAACATATGAATATAAAAAATAAATGAAATTTTATCTTATAAATTGATTTTATAAAATTATAAAAGTGATTCACTTTTTTTTCTTTCCTTTTTTTTAAAATTACGTGAAATAATAATAAAATTACAATGACAATACATAATTAAGACAAGTTTCATTTATAATAATTAATAATAGAATTTTTACATTATCAGTTTGTTTTAAATTCAAGGAATCTATAATTTTTCAAATCAAATATTTAAATTTTGATTGGTTTGATTTAAATTATATTATTAATTTGATTTGATTGGTTTGATTCATATTTTATCTTAATTTGATTATTTTAAATTATAATTTATTAAACAATATATTAATTTATATTACTAATTTAAAAAATATATATTTTTTGAATTATTATAAATAAATGAAAATTTTATTATTAAATTTATTGAAAAGTTTAATTTAAAAGAGATAAATAAATTTTTTTTAAATTATGATGAGTTAATCCATTTTTAAATAGGACTATTAATGAATCAATCTATTTCACTCCATTTTTTATATACTAAAGACAATATGATTAAAAAGGGATAAATTAACTCATTTTATCATCTAATTATATTTAAATTTGTAAGAAAAAAATTATAAAGTATATAATATTTATCATGACATTTTGTTCTGAATATTTACATGATGATGATAGCAACTTTTCCTCTTTTGACAACTGTGAGAACAACTAATTACGATATAACTTATGCTCTCGATTTGCCAGCTACTACCCCAAATCCACTTCACTACGTGCTTTCATTTTAAACTTATAATAATCTTCTAATAACTATTGCCAGGTATTTTATATTATAAAGTTGTTTTTTTTTAAGGAAATATATTATAAAATTGTTATGAATATTATAAAATGGGATGCGAGACAAGGAGGGAAATCTTTGACAAGTCCCATGTGTGTAATTTTTTAAATGCAGGTGAAGTGTATCATTCTTCAACCTTCATCTTCAAAGATTCTTATTGAGGATTCCGTATCTCCAACCACTTCAACATAAGATAGAAAAAGTATGGAAAAGAAAGATACTATTTCAAAAATTATCATATTTTTTCGTAAGTTAATCATATAATGTAATTTTTATACATGCATTGTAATAAAATTTCAATTCGATTTCTATACATACATAAACTTGTTACGATACATCCTTATATATGTGAAATGTTATTGATTTAGTAATGTATCTTAAATATTTTGATCTTCATGCATATAACTCCTTTTTTATTTTGTAATAATATATCATTTAATATTGCTTAATTTTTTATTATATTTTAACTCAAGACTTATCATTCCCTCTTTTTAAAAAAAAAAAATTCCGCAAAGTAAACCTTATTTCCCTATCATTCTCTTATTTTATTCTTGTTCAATTATTTCTTATATCCTATTATATTCTATCCAATGATATTTGTCGTAAAAATTTTCAACCCAATTGAATTTATTTACTTATAGTAGTAAGAAAAATTAGTCTCCTTTATATTTCTTTCTATTTTAATTTCTTAAATTTTTACTTTTCTAACAAGCATTTTCATAAATTGAAAGGTCTTTTTTTTTTCAAAATTTATGAATACTAGAGTGCAAAATTTCATCTAAAATTTTAAAAATAACTTAAAATTTCAATATATTATTTCATAAAATCTTTCAAAATTCATCAAATTTTTATTATAAAATGTTGGCCTCTAAACATTTAACTCTATTTCATATTCTAAATCCATCATAAACTCTCAAATACTTTAATAAAAAAAATAACCACGTGGGTACTTCATAGAAAATTTTGACAAAACGACAAAATTACTTAACTTCAAAAATAAAATAGAAACTAAAGAAAATATAATCACACATAAGGAAGAAAGAACAAACATGAAACTAATTTTTATCTTTTTTTTATACCTAATCCTTAAACAAAACAAAAAAGTACTGTTTTCTAAATATATTAAAAATCCATTTTAAGAAACTGAAATTGACAATTGGTGCTCAACGATGGTGGAAGAGGAGGAACATGGGGTATAGAGAGGAGACATAACACCTATATATAACATAAATGAAACAATTTCTTCTTAAAGAATTATTTTTGTTTCAATCACAAGTTTTTTGTGGTTTTCATCATCCTCAACTTTACGATTCCTGTTCTACCATGACGATCATTAGTTCCAATAGAGTTGAATTAAAAAATTTCAATTAAAATTAAGAAATATTATGGTAAAGGCATGTAATTAAAAACAAAATTCTGTTAAAAATATTGATCACATATTAATCATCAATAAAGTTAATTAACATTTCACATCAATAATAAAATAAAATTATCGAGGGAGGAAATTCCATACTGGCAACAGAACCAAATTTTAAATTGTAATCTTTTTGACCTAATAAGCACTTTTGTTTTGTGACATCCTTGGAGAAATGAACCCTATCCCAATGCATGCTTCAATCCTTTGCCTAGTCAGCACATGTGCTGACTCAGTGCCAGGTATGCATCGTTTGTTCCTCGATGAACACACCAGAACTTGTGGATGCCATCGCTGCAATAACTCAATTTAAAACAAAATTCGAAAGAGTAAAGCAACTTGTTCAAATTATTAATCTCCACTCAACTCCAACTTCATTAAATATAACTTCAAAGTTTGTGGCTTAAATATTTTCATTTATAAAAGGCTTACGATAGTTCCCACTCTCTTTATTCAAAATTTTCTTAATCAAATGAAAATGTCATCAAAATTAATATTATTCATCTAATGAATTATAAAAATTTGAAACAACATTTTTTATTATTATTATATATGTATGGTTATACATTTAAAAATAATACCTTTTCTTCTCTTATTGATATGTGTTACACATGTATAAAGCGTATTAAACGAGAAAAAAAACTATACTGATAAGGAAAAACAAAATATTGTGCTAGATTTAAATAAACAATATGATTATTATTTTATGGTTATATATGTTAAATTAATTAGTTAATTATCGATTATTGAAGGAAAATAAGAGAGAAGTTATAATTAAGTAAAAAATAAAAATAAAATCTTTCACCAAATTTTAAGAAATTAAGAATAAGATTATCTTATTAACCTTATTTGATATAATCGGTATAGGCAGAATCGGAGTATGATTTGATTCCATTTTTTTACGAAAAAGTCATCTAAATTAAATATAAAATTTAAATGCAATTCGAAAATTGATTTTAATTTTTTTAAAAAATCAAATTCAACTAAACCAATATTTTATAGTTTAACTTTGATGATTTTTATCGTTAAAATATTTATTAAATAAATATATAGTTTCACATTCTGTTCTAAATTATAAAAAACTAAAATTAAATATTAAACAAAATTATATATTTCATATAAATTAAAATATTAATTAATATTATAAATTATAAGAAATAATTAATTAATTAATATTTTAAATAAATATTTCTTAATATAAATCAAATATAAGAGATCCTGTTATCATGTGACTTGTACTTACGATTTAGTTCTTATAATATTGTGTTGTCCTGTGCTTGAATTATTACTAGGTTTCTTTTGAATAAAACTATATAATTAAAAGTTGGATGGTTATATTGTATTTTATTTCATTGATATAAATTTAAATAATTAAAATTTAGATAATAATGTATTGTTGGCTCATTCACAAGTCACCCTCAAGATTTCTTATACTTTTATGTGACATTTCATGTCTTAAATGGTTTACTGACCATAAATACCATTTAATTTTAATATATATATATATATATATATATATATATATATTATAATTGCGATTAGGTTCTGTAAAATAAAAATAGAATAATTTTTATTTTTTAATTATTTTTTAAAATAATTTAATCAGTTTTTATTTATTTTTTTATTGGTTCAGATTGAACATCCTAATATTAAGTTGTGTCGATTTTAAATATTGAGGAAGAAAAAGTGAAAATACTAAATGGAGGTAATTTTATTTTTTTTAAGTTGAAAACAACATGTTGGTGGGACCAGCAATTATTTACTATGCTTTTACGTCAAACAAACAATGCAAGTATTATATTATTCTATAAATAAATAATTTTGTTTCTTTGATGTGGTTGATTGACGTAAGAAGGAACAACAGAAGAGTGTGTGTTTCTTCTGCGTGGAACCGAAACTGGATAAGATCGATTATTCCCGGACCACAACCCTAAACAATTTCTTTTCTTAGGAATAAATTTGGATCATCTATTTATATAAAAAATGAAAACCAGAGAAAAACAAAGCTGTATTTATAAATTTTCGTAATAATAAACTGCATTTCATAATAAAATATGCGTATTTCTTAAATAACAAGTTTTGATTGATACGTTAGCCTATATTCAAATTGTTTTTTTTAATATGATAAAATACTTATTAAATAATTTCATTGAATATTGAAAAACGACAGTTTCCAAGATTAAAAAAAAGAAAATTGGAAATAAAACCGTTGAAATAAACCTACGACATTGATACAACACCAACTCATAAACCAGAGACTCCTGATCTTACGATGTGAGTTTCCAGTGTGCAATGGATTTAATTCAATCCACTTTGGATAACTCTCTCCCCTTTCATTTCAAACTATCTTTTCTATCGTAACAGGTTTCTTCTCAAAGCTGGATTATATTAAAACTATTTTTAGAACTTAATTTTACAAAAATAAAGATCTATTTTGTTATTTTAATTATATTTCTCTTGATACTTGAGATCTTCAATATTGTATTAATACATTCCAAAAGTTTTTTTTATGGAATTGTTCTTAAGCAAAAATTGAGGTAAAAGAAAATGGTTAGTTAAATTTTAAAGTAATTACAAGTTTTTTTAAATGGTCAATTTTCATACTAATAGTTTTTTTTTTATCCATTGCATCATACATACATATACACTGTTTCAAACATAGTGACATACTTACTTGAAATGATAAAAAAGCGTAGAAGAATTCAAAAGGCATCATCAATTTGTTCTTTACAATTTTTGCAATATCACCATGTCATGTTCCAAATAAATAAATACGTAAATAAGAAACTTAAATATCTACCTAATGAATGGTAAACGGTTCTATGTACGTGAAAATAGATGCAGATGAAAAAGTACGTAAAATTCAATAGATTAATTAGAAAAAAATATTATAATTTAAATAGAGCTATATAATTTTTAATTTGTTTTATTTAAATAGGAAACTTCATAAATCTATGGTTTGGTCTATTTTATAAAATAATTATTATATTTTTAAAAATTTTAAAAATATATTATTTTAGTAATATATAATTTGTAGTGGTTGAACTTGTTTGACACTTTTAGATAGTTCTTTATTGAGTAAATATTTTAAAATTTTGATAAAAATAGATGAATCACAAAAAGAAAGAAAATAATAATGTTTTAAAAACTATATGTTTTTATCTAATTTTTTTTTTAAATAATAAAACTCATATTTAAATTGAAGGTATATGTAAGTGATATTTTTATTATATTATTAATATAGAAAAGTTTCAGAGTCAAATTCAAATCTTAAATATACAATTTCAATAGCGGAAACATATAATTTATAAAAAACAAAATCAAAATTGTATGATATAAAATAATAAATATATTTTTAAAATGAATTGGTATTTAATTAACAATAGAAAAATTAATATAATGTATTCTTTTAGTAAAGAGAATATATAGAACTATTATACTATCATCGTCCATAATGATTATAAAATCTAATATAAATAATCAAAACAACATATTTAATGAACAAATCAATAGAAATAAGATGAGATTTTTATCTTACCGTAATATTATTACGTGAAATTTTATCATATTCCTTCGTTTTAATTGAGGGTTTCTTTTTCATCAATTAATGTCCAATACCATATTCACAAAATCATAACATAAGTTGAAAAAAAAAAAGGAAATTCATGAAATAGGAGGGAAGATAGACATATAATGAATATATATTATATAATACAATTGATGAACACCAGAGAAAGTCTCCACATGATATTCGTGCACACTCATGGACACGTCCACTTTGAATCACCATTTTTTTTCATGTTCCAAAATTAGAAGAATGGACCCCAAAAATTTCCACTTTATTATAACTTTTGCCTCAACCTCCCACACCACAAGTGTCTTTCTTATAAGCCAAAACTCATTTTCCCACAACCCTTTAATCCAAACTCGCAATAAACAACATGGAAACACCTCCACTTTCTCCTTCTTTCTCTCTTATGCTCTATCACCTGCTCCTTTACCACTGAACCAACAACAACATATACCCTCTCTTCACCATACTCTCCAATTCTTCAACTCAAACTTCAATCACATACCCTTCTGTTGTGTCATCAATTATGGGGGCTGGTGTTTCCACAACTGCCACAGAAAATGATGTTGGCACCTCTTCTTTGTCCTCAGAGACCACCCTTGATGATGTCCCTGAGAACTGCATCTCTTCTCTGATGATGAGTTTTGATCCACAAGAGATTTGCACATTGGCCAGAGTCAACAAGGCCTTCCACAGAGCTTCTTCTGCTGACTTTGTATGGGAATCAAAGTTGCCTCCAACCTATAACTTCCTTCTCAACAAAGTTCTTGGTGAAAAAAATCTTGCTTCCATGACCAAAAAAGAGATCTATGCCAAACTATGCCGACCCAATTTCTTTGATGGTGGCACCAAAGTAAGTTTATCAATAGTCTTCATATTTGTAAACTGGATCCGTTCTTCAGCATCAATTTCATGAATTTTCCTTCTTCTTTCCATTTTTTTCTTTCTCTTCATTGCATTAACAAGCTTGCTTGATTTGTTCCCCTGTGGTGATTATTCAGAAAGTTTGGCTGGACAGATGCACTGCACAAGTCTGTTTGTTCATTTCTTCAAAAGCCTTCAAGATTACAGGAATAGATGATAGAAGATATTGGAATTATGTTCCAACCGAGGAATCCAGGTGATATATTGTTATTTAATCAGAGTTAAATAATAATTACTTTGTTGCGTATATATAATTAAACACAATTCAAGAACTAAGATCGTGGAACTGAAACTTCCATAGATGCAATTAAGGTTGTAAAATAATACTTCTGAATTCTGATGAAGGTTGAAAAATACGTTTGGTTTGTGTTCACAGAAACACAATTATTTTCTTCTTCAACGATGAGGTAGATTTTAAAAAAATGAACTTCTTTTTGGTAAAAGTCATTTTCCAATTTTCGAACAAATCCAAAGCCAGCATATGGAACCAGAAAGGTTTTTTTCTTCATGTATATATACGCATTTGGCGCGTCCTTGGTATAAGAATAAAATTAAACACATATAATAAACGTTTATTTTCTGACGAATAATAGTTATTTTTATTTATTTCAAGAATAAAACAATTAACTATTTATTCAATTCAACATAAAATATCCTGCGATTTCTAACTACAACCCACAAACTTTTATGTGTCATAGAAATTTCTTGTTTTTCAACCTTATTAATACAACCCCAAACTTTTTGACTTTAGGTAGAATCATAGAGTGTACTTACCGTGATTAAGGGACAAAGAAAGGATTAATTACTCTACAAAATTTTTATTTGATTGATGAAAATATTGGTATTTTTCATAGCAACACTACTAAAATGTTTATGATTCTTGAGATAGAATATCCCTCACATTACACGTGGCATTTTTTTTTATCTGAAAAAGCTTGTTGGCAAATTGCTTTCCATATTCATGAAAGCGATTCGTCCTAGTCAGCCATTCACATCTTGAAGATAATTAAAGAACAAAAATTTCAAGCAATTTGCATTTAGAAACGCTATAAAAACACGTTTTGAGAGGGACTTGTATGGAAAAGTAGTGAATGAATAATTAAAGCTTAGATTATTGTGAACTAACTCTTCCTACTCAGCGTCTTGTAGATAAATAAAGAAAAAAGAACAATAGTGGAAGCAAGTTGCATTTATAAAATGTTATGCAATAGCTGAAAAGGACTTCTATTCAAGGAAAAGGAATGATAATTAATTAGCATTGTATTTTTAGGGTATGGTAGTTGCATTTAGGGTTTGTTTCTCTTTTACTAATAAAAAAATGTCTTGTCTTTTGACAATTTTTTTAATCATGCAGGTTCAAAAGTGTTGCATATCTTCAACAAATGTGGTGGGTTGAAGTAATAGGGGATTTGGAGTTTGAGTTTCCAAAGGGGAACTACAGTGTATTTTTCAAGCTTCAATTGGGGAAGCCCACCATGAGATTGGGCCGGCGAGTGTGCAACCTCGATCAAGTTCATGGATGGGACATCAAGCCCGTTAGATTTCAGCTATCTACATCCGACGGCCAGAGTTCACTCTCCCAGTGCTATTTGAGTGGGCCTGGAGAATGGGCCCACTACCATGTTGGAGACTTTGCAATTGACAAGCCCAATGGGCCAACAAACATCAAGTTCTCTTTGGCCCAAATTGATTGCACTCACACCAAAGGTGGTCTTTCCATAGATGGGGTAGTGATTTGCCCGAAGGAGTCATCAGAAAGTGTGAAACAATTTTAGGGAGAGAAATGTTAGGAACACATTCTTTTATACACTCTCTTACTGATTGAAATTTTTTAAAAATTAAAAAAAAAATCTATTTAATGATTTTTTTTCTTAATTTGAAGTTTTTTTCAATAAATTTTAACCACTAAGAGATTGAGGAAAAAGAATGTGTTGCTGGCACTTTTATTTTGACAAACAATACTTTACACTGTGTTTTCAATTCGTTATAGGTTTCTCTCTTGTTTAATTAGTTCTTATTTTTTATTTTTTTTTATATTTTTCATATTATTGGGGCACCCTAATTTTGTCACAAAGGAAGTCCTACGCATGAAGTGGGAAGAGACCAAACAATTTAGGGACAATTATGTTACTTGTTGTATTGGGTGGCCTTGTTTTTTGCATATATGAGTGTTCCTTTTTGTAATGAATTTTAAATATGTGAAATAGCATTGAGGTTGCATTTATGATTACAAATAAGTGCGGTCATGTAACATGCCATGTGATCGAACAGATTCAATACTTTATTTTTTTTATTATCTTACAACTTTCACATTCACATTTGTTAGGCAAGTGCACAGTTTTCATTTTGAAGGAGTGTTTTACAATTAATTATTATTCATTAAACAAAATTAAAACAACATTTTATTTAATGTAATAATGAAGATTTTAAAGATTCGTATTATATATATAGTTTGATTTAAGAACTATTAATTAAAATAATTGAAAATTTAATTAATAAGAATATTACAAATTACGAATTTCGTTCATAGAGTCCTCTTATTTACTGAATTGACTAATCAATTATTATATGGATTGTTATTACTAAATTTTAAAGGATTCTATACGTGGAATGATACGGTTCATAGAAAAATATTCAATAATACTTTTTTTTCCCCTTTAAAAATTTGACAAAGATAGGAATATTACATTTTTCAAATACAAGTTATGGTGAAAGAATTGTTAAACCATTTAAATAAATACTATTTGCTATTTTTATGTATTTATTATTAATTTAATCATATTAAATATAATACTTAATTATTAAGATATTTTATATATCTAATATTATAATAATGATAAATTATGATTATTTATTTATATAACCTAATAATATTTTTATTTGTATGATAATATCGTATGATAGTTTTTTTTTATTATTTATTAAGTACTCTATTAACTTATATAATATTATTTTTTTTAATTGAAAGTGGATTGTATTTTATTATAAGAGTATTTTTCCTGTTAAAATTCATAAATCGATTCATAAAACTTAATTACTTCACCTTATTAATCTATTTTATCACAGAGTTTAATTTTCGGTAAAAACATTTATATTTTTATTTTAACCTTAATTAAATCATATGAATGAATAAGTTTCAATATTTAAAAATATTCAAATTTGAAATAATTTGAAATTTTGAATATAAAATATTTTTATTATTAGTAAGTAAACCATGTGATATAAAATAAATTAGATTCAAAGAAATAAATTATAATAAAATAGAAGAAGGTCGATATGATGAGTCATTAGATACCTAATAAATAGTTAAATCATATTTTATGAATTATTTATTTCTTCTAATTGATATTTAAGTGAACTCGGCATAAAAGATCTTTTATAAAATAATTTCTTATATTAAATCGTTCCTCAATTTATCTTACATTTATTTTTATAAAATTTATGTTAAATATTTTTTTTCATTCATTAATTTATTGTTCAATTTTTTTAATAAGAAAATTAGTCATAATAATTAATTATTATTATTATTATTATTATTATTATTATCTTTTTTTATTCTCATTTCTTTTATTTAAATAACCTCAATTTTTTTCACTACATCATATCTACCGTTAATCAGGATAGAAGTTTAGTATCTTTCTTGATGATGTCAATTTTTTTTTAGAAGATGTGGCATAAGGAAAGAAGATGTGACGTTAGCAGAAAATCTGGTTGTGATTTTCAATTTAAAAAAAGCTAATAAAACAAAAAATGAAAACATAAGTAAAGAAAAAAATTTGTTAAACACTCATTAGTCTCGTAATATAAATTATTGAGTATTTTTTTTCTTCAACTTTGACATTTGGTCGAGATTCTTTCTACGTTTAGGAGACTTTCTACAAAAAAATTCTTGTTAAGGAATAAATCCACGTAAAAATTAACACCTCACTTAATCTAAACCATTAAAATATTGGATATTTCTTGTTATATGTTTACGTTTATATTTAAATTTTTTAACATAAATTACAATCAAATTTTATTATTTTTACGTGGACAATAGTTTAATTATTGTTTTTTTTTTAAATGAATCAATCTTGAACATTTTATTAATAAAAACTAAATTGAATAAAATAAAAAATAATAAAAAACACAAAAATGATTGGATGCATTAGCTTTAATACTATATATGATCAAATCTTATTTTGTTAAATTAATACTTAAACAATAAATAAAGATGTGATTTTCATATTTTATATCATATTAAGTAATAAGTAAAATAATTATAAAATTTTATATTTTAAATAAATTAACTTATTAGACTTATTTCTTTAGATGATTTAAGATCTAATAAGTTAAATAGATTTATTTTATTTTTTTACAAAATTACGTATGGATTTATAAGAAGTAGACTATACGTATATCCGAGTTATTCTTCAATTTTATTTATAATAAATGTTTGTTTATATTAAATGCAGCTTGTTCATAAAAATTACGTACGATCTATAAAAGTAGAATATACGTATAAAAACTGTAGAATAATTTGAGTGTGTCATTCCTCCTTATTTATAACAATTGAACCTTTATATACGTATTATTTTGAAAAGGTCTTGCATATTATATTATACGTACAGAAAATGTTTTTTCTAGAAGTTTTGCATTGAAAATGAATAATATTTTTAATAAAATTTAATTGTAAAAGAACGCCAACCCCAACGATACTTATATATACATTATAAATTTTGTCCAATTATTTTATTTTATTTACCCATATATATATATATATATATATATATATTGCAAATAATCATACAATATAAAAAATAATTAAAATAGATTATTCTATCCCGATTTCTGTCTTATCCTCTCTGAAACCTGTCTCCAAATCTGTTGATGTTTCTAGTCAACAATATCTACGACCAAATTTCATCGTAGCGATTATGGTTTTTCTGAACACAATTTTCATAAAAATCTAGAGAAGTGTTAACTCATCCTCATCTACAAATGCAACTGGAAAAACTATCTGTCCTTCACCAATAGCGATTCCAAATCCACCACCATACACCTGCTTCTGTCCCCTTTTTCTTTCTTCAATCAACATTCAAGGGTCCCTCTCATTTCTTCAGATCCACACTCTCGTTGCAGAAAAAAAGGTTACTTCTTTTCCATGTTTTTCCTTTCAAACTCGTGACTGTGTCATGTTTTCCATGTTTACTTATTTGGTGTATCTTTATTTGTTGATCAAGTTAATTACTTGAGAAAATTTACCACCTTTTGTTTTCTGCTTTGTTGAAATGCCATGACAATTAAAATTTGTTGAAAAAGGAAAATAATTAAGTTCGACAGAGATATTTTTAGTCATTTTTCATTTTTTTTAAAACGTTTTTGACTCCCGTTTCGGTCAATTTTCGAGTGACGTTATTTGTAAAGTTGAAAAACAAAAAATTCTCTTTGGCTATCAGATGACCAGGCTTTTGAGTAGCCAAAGTTTCCAAATTTTTAATTTTCAGTGCTTTGATTGTGATAGGGTCCGTGGTTGTTAATGAATAAAATAATTTCAACTTGTTATGAGGAATTTGCATTCTTCCATAATTAGTTTATTTTTCGTGTAACGCTGGTTGCTTGAAGATTTTTTTTTTCTTTTCTCAAATAACCAATTTTTGCAGTTTGTGTTTGATACCAGTGTGTGGTGTGGCATTGATGATTAGATGTTCTGTTTGCTATCAGGCTTTGATTTTTGGAAATGTCTGAAGTGAATAACAAAGTGGATTTCATCCAATTGCTTGGACCTGACATGTCAATCAAGATTCTGACCCATTTGGATGACCCTTGTGACCTTATTCGGGTTTCTGCTGTTTCCAGTTCTTGGCACCGATTTGGTAAGCCATCTGAATTTAATTACTTGTAGTGGGAAGATTATATAGTATTTTGAACTTTTTTGTCCAAAAAGTACATATTTGATTTGCTGGAAGGCTTATTTCTTTGGAACGTTTTTGTGTCTGGATATATTGTCCTGTTTATTTTATTTATTTGTTTAAGTTCAGGTTTTTTCTTTCAAGTTTGAAATATAAAGCATTGACACATTAATCTTTGGCTTTATTTTGCTACTCATAGTATTAATATCCACTCTAAATATTCTGCAGTTATTGAACATGGCCTCTGCAAGCAACTTTGCCTGGAAATGTTTCCTGAAATATCTGGTGTTGCTCATATCATTGAGGTTTACAACATTATTGAACCACTAGGCAACACTCTGGGCAGAAGTTATGTAAATTGGGAGTATCTTAAGAGAAATCATAAAGTGTATGCATTCTTGGCCTCTGGTCTTACACCTATGAGAGAAAATTGCATCTCTAAAGCTGTTAGTGCATCCAGTACTGATAACTACCCCGAAGAAAGTATTCTACATACATTGGAGCCTGGTGATAGAACTGGATATAGAGCATCATACTGGTCAAGCAAAGGGGAAAGCGATCCTTCTGTTCCTGAGACTTTAGTTTATAAGCTTGTTTCTGAAATGTGTCTTGTTACGGAGATTCATGTCCAACCGTTCCAAGGTTAGCCTTGTTGCTAAAATAAACTTCTTTGTTTTGTGAATCAATCTAATCTGATGATAGGTATGCTGAGGATCTTGAACTTTTGCCTAATGATCTGACAAATAATCTACGTTTACTTGTCAGCATATTTTCAGCATGGCTTCCCTATATATTCTGCTAAGGCTGTCCGATTCAGAATGGGCCATCCAAGATACAGAATGGAATCAGAGAGTGCCGTGGATAATCTGACTGTTAATCAAGTCTTGGGCGATAATCAATTTATATGGACGTATACTTCACCTGAATTTCCAATGTGTCAGGTGAGTTGCATGTTAAAATGCATGTTTCGAATATATTTTTTTATCCATTCAATTACTCAACAAAGATGAAGCTTGAGATTCGTTACTGGTCTTTTCCTGGAATCATTCACTTATATATCTAATTCTCATTTTTGGTTTGATTGCATTTTTCTATCCTTTATAGTTTTCATCACCTAATTTAATGCAGTTCTAGTGTGAAACTTGACTCACAGATTTCTGGATAATGATAACTTTTTTTTATATGCCTAGAGAGTAGTTAGTCCAAATAGTTCAAAGCATTCATTGAAGAACATGTCTGTTTATGTTGATGGCAACTGGACACACCCTTAGTGGTTGGGCGGTTAAAATTGTCAAGTGTAGGGTATTTTAGCTTATAGTAATTAGTAAGAGGGATTGAAGAGTGGCATTCAGATTTATTTGTTTTGTAAATAGAGTTGTTTCTCAGTTGTAAAAGGAGAGAAACCTTGGAAGGAAAACTCTTCCTTTTTTTTGGTTGAGATTCAATAAACCTTTTCTCTCGTGTTAGATTTCTCAGTTCTTTTTGTTGTGGGTTAGTAACAATTTGGTCAAACCTGCCTGATCTGTTTTGCTGGGATGACATTGAAACAAGTATAGAACTCTGGATAATTCGGTGAAGTTCTTGAAGAAGATGAACAACAAGCATGGGGTGAGATTATATTCTCTGGATGTTGTGGCTACATATAATTTCTATTAGTTTAAGTTAACTAGAAGTCAGTTTCTGGTAGTTACTTGGTAATTATAGATAAATTAGTTACTGGGTAGTAATGTTAGTTTGTGAAGTATGAGGTAGAGGTGTAGGTCTATGTATATACCTGCTGATTATTAAATCACAAGATCTTGTTATCTCCACTCTGAATAATGGATGGTGATGCATATGTTGTAGAGATTTGAAGGAATAGTAGGACAATATTTGGTGATTGCTGGATCGATGGTGGAGGAAATTGGGCATTAGCCTTGACTGCAAAAAGAATGCATGAACCTTCATAGTTGAAATAATGGTATTGATAGGGCCACATGAATAGTTATGTTTGAATAGTAAAGAGTTTTGGCAGTTAAGAGTAGAAGAGGGTCATATTCAGATTTCTCAGTATTGGAAACTGAACAGAGACTTATCTGTGAAAGGGGAAACTAAGAAGAATTCTCTCCTTTTTCTGTTGAGAATCAATAAACCTTTACATTTTTGTTCTTTTTCTTATTCTTTAATTTCAGTTGTGGTTTTGGAACTGTTTTAATAATTGGTATGGTACATCTTCATGTTGATCAATTGACTGGTTGGGATCAGAGAAGTAACCATGTTAATCTTTAATGAAATGAACGCTGGATAATCACTCAAATCTGTTTTTTTTTTTTTTTTCTTTTGGGTGGAGTGTCTTCGTGTTTTACCTGCTGAATATAGCAAGCGTGAATTTAACATTTGTCCATTTTAGATGGGAACTGCATTGTATTTTTACAATACAGTGTTCTATGCATGTGTTTGACATTTGAAATAGATTAGTAACATACTGACTTTACAGGAAAACCGAGCGCAAAAATTCAAGCTACCTGAACCTGTTATGTGCATTGGAGGCATACTGCTAGTTGAGCTGTTGGGTAGAGTTCAAAAACAAGAAATGGATGAATTATTCTACATATGGTTTGTTTCTCAAGTGTTTTCTTTTTATCTCTCATGTACACTTTAAATTGACATCAAGAACTTGATCTCTTTCCCTTCCATCTGTCCACTATGCCACTCAAGGATCATGAGAAGGGTTAGGGGGAATTTCAGCGTAGAGATGAAAACTAATATAATAAAGGCCATACTTCTACTCTATCTACACTGCATGCATGCTGAATATTCATCATGTCCTCATAGTGAGATGAAGAACTTTAATTTATTTCCTTTAGTTCTTTTTGTGATTTCATTGCCTACATTTTAGTTAGTCTTTCTTTTGCAAATTAGGACATGTTTGAAGAAACTTCACCATATACACTTCTACCAGGGAAAAATAAGAAGAAAAAATGAAATAAACTTCTGTAGAAGTTAAAGTTAGCTTATGCATAACTTCTCTAAATTCTGATTTTTAAGTCATGCATAAGCTTACCCTTGTTGATGAAGCCCTTATTTCATTTTTTCTTTCCTACAAGTGTTAATGAAAAAACTAGTTTCAAATAGGCCCTAGATCAAATATTCCTAGGCTCCTTTTGTATTCACTTTGTAATATCAAATGTTCTTATATTTTCAGAAAGAATTTCCATCTGTTTGTTTATCTGTCTTGAATTTCTATGATGCAGCATCTCCCATGTTCAAGTCATGGGGCGGCCGCTATCACCGGCGTTTGATGTTAAAGTGCATCATTCATCGGGGAAGTGTACCTTGAAATACCATCCTACTCAAACAGATTGTTGCATGACTTCTTCAACATCTTCACCAGAATCAAGCAGTCCTTCGCGCCTGCGCATAATAACCTCAAGCATAATGCAGAGGGGTGTGAGACGATGGGAGCAAATTATCTTGGGTGCACTGCTTGGTTCTGGTTCTGTTGTAGTTGATGATTGATGAAAATTTGCAAGGAATGAAGAACCTCAATTCTCAAATTGAAGACATCGGGTCTAGTATTTGTATAGCACAGCATGTTGAGCACAATAATTAGTAGAGGGCAGAGGCAAAATTTCATCTTTATCTCTTTCTGTGTTGCTTAAGTCTTGCCTCCTTGGCTAGTTATTAAGTATATATAGGCTGTAAACAATATATCTGGTGTGGGTCGAGCTGATAACGACTTTGTATTGATAAGAATGATGACATACTTCTACACAATCATGTCTTGAACCTTTGATTTGATGTTTTTAGATTGTGCTTCTGTGAAGTTAAAATATGTTATTAGATATGTGCATATGTATGAGACTATGATAAAATATGTGTATTTGTGCAATAAGTTGTACAGAAGTTAAAAATAGAATTGTTGATTTTACTTTGTTTCTTTAAAGTGTACTAGTATTTAAGAGGTAAATTCATGTCATTTTTAGTTGAATGGGAGGGGACTTGGTGGTGAAAAAGTTTGAGTTCATTTGTTTTGCTAATATGTTCCCTTATCAGCACCGACCAAAGAATCAGTTGGAATTATTAAGTTTTTAGATATGTTTTAGTCTTTTGATTTTTCATTTAATTTTTCATTTAATCATTGTAGTTGTCCAATAAATGAGATTAAGTCTTCTAAAACATATTTTTCTTTTTTTTTTTACTCTTAAGTTAATATTAGAGTGGGTTAATCTCGTTTTGCTAGTTTAGGGTCTTCTTCGATGTAAAATTTGTCCATCTTCACTAGTTGTTGTTCGTATGTTATATTCAAATTTCTACTATGATTATCAGATTTGTGTTGTCTCCTCAAGCGGTGATCATCCTTACTTGTCTGATATTGTGATTCTTCGTTACACACGACTTCTTTTCATAAATCTATTTTGCATGTGTGGCTCACGCATTGTCCTCATTTCGTCGAAGTTTCTCTGTGCAGTGTCTAGCAAAATGTCATTTGGATCTTTTGTGTCCTCTGTATTTGAAAAATTGAAAAAATTATCTTCCTTGGTCTGCCTCAGTTGAAGTGTGGTTCCTTAGTCAAGCTGTTCATGATTACATTGAAAAAGATGAGACTTTTGTACCACCTGATAAAGTTGAAAAATGGAAGCAAATTGACTTTCAGCTTTGTGTCTTACTACTACAGTAAGTAGAATCAAAGTTACTATATATCCTTAGAGCATTTAAAACATGTAACTCTTTTTGGAAAAATGCTCAAAATAGTTTGTAAATGATACTTAACGCCTCTACGATTCTATCAATCAACTTACTTCTCTTGTCAAATCAGGATATGATGTCCTTCATGAGTTAAATTTAGTCTGCTGATGAAAAACTAAAGATGTTCCTAGAGGATGATTCATTAGAAGAGACAAAGAAGAAATTGGATAAGTTCTATATGGTAATGATTTTTTGTGCCATACATATTGATTTTGAACATGTCACAAATCAATTTTTAACTGGACAAGAGGTCCCCTCCATGGATAACTTGATAACCAGGCTTCTTTGGATTTCCTCAATTTAAAACAGAAACATCTAAGAACTTATGGAATCCTCTGTTATGATCTCGTGGAAAGGGAGGACGTAATGCTAAAGGAGGAAGGGGCAACCAAAGACATTCTCAATGTGCATGTGCATATTGTAAGAAGATGGGTCATGACATGCACAAGAGAATTGTTTTGCATTGCATAATTTTCCTAATTAGACAGTCAATATCTCTAAGGTTGAATCTACTGAACCCAAGTTCTCTAATGAAGAGTATCAAAAATACTTATGGTTGAAATCCAATAACTTATCACAATCATCAAGTTCCAGTTTCAATCTATCAACAATTTCCATTTCACAATCTATGGAAAGTCAAAATCCATAGATAATAGACTAAGTGCTTTTGATCACATTTCTAGTAATATATCCTTGTTCTCATCCACTCTCTTTCTCAATAATATGTATTTCATTACCTTAGTCAATGGTTCTAAAACTTCTTCTAAAGAATTGGGTCAAGTTTCCCTTTCACCTTTTTTCAATTTAAAATGTGTTCTATTTGCACCTTCTTGTCTTTTTAATTTTATTTCATTAAGTTAATTAACCAAGTCTTTAAACTTGTTAGATATTGTTTAGATATTGTTAAGATATTGTTAGATATTGTTAACCACAATATCTTCTGTTTATTATGTTTACTTTCGGTTACTCTTTTAGTTGTACATCTCTCTATTATAAATAGATTACCCTATGTGTGATTTATACACAAGGGAGATTAATCTCAAACCTTATTTCCTCTATATTCAACATGGTATCTAAAACTTAAGGTTATTTTTGAAAAAATTTCGTCCTTGTTTACTGTTGGAGCCGCTATCGCCGCCGCTACCAGTTAATCTGATCTTCCACATCAGAAAAGAGTTATTTTTGTTACTGGATATTATTTGGTAGTGTGAAAGTGCATGTCTAGGAACATTCTGATAAGGAAAAACTTGGTATTTAAGCATGTCCATTAGTGACCCACCTATCTTTCCTGGGAACTTACCTGGTGTACTGGTTTACGCCACTGTCACCGCCTTCGCTGCTGCCGCCAGAGTATCATTTTTTACCAGCAACATACAATTTTGCTCGTTTTGGTCAGGCGACCATCGTACCATTGAGATCACCACTATCGGAGTTGGTCATCCATTGTCTTCTGCGTCGTTTAGTCTCGACAGACTTGTTTTGGTCTTCTTGTTTTGGATCTGTGTTTCGTGGGTTGATTGGATTACTTTGGATTTTTATAGGGTTTGTTCTCTCGCCTTTCATGACTTCTTCCACTCATTCTACTACTTGCAATTCTGTTAATGATTCTTCTGCGTTGGCATCTCACGTGAAGGTCGGACTCACCCTCACAAACAGGGAAAATGGCTTCCTAAGTGTGAACATTGTGACAAGTTAGGTCACAAGATTAACAAGTGTTACGCATTACATGGTCGTCCTCCTCGATCTGCTACAGTTGTTCAGACCGATATTTCCCCATCTTTGTCTGCTGGGGATCCTCCTTCTTCTATTGCATCTGACATACCTACTATGTTCAACAAATTTCTCAAATGGTATAAGGATCAACAGTCTTCTAGTTCCACTACATCTGTTGCACACACAGGTACATATTTTGATGGTCTGACCCAATCCTCTTCTCCTGGTCCTTATATTTTCAATTCTAGAGTCACTGATCATATTATTAGTAACAAATCTTTGCTCTCCTCTTTATTCTTTTCTAATCTTTTACCTTCTGTTACACTGGCTGATAGCTCTAGAGTATCATATCATGATGTTGGAAATGTTAAACTTTTCTCTTCTTTAGCCATTGATAATGTTCTTTATGTCCCTGGGTATCCTTTTAACCTGTTGTTCATCAGTCGTCTAACTCGTTCTTTTCATTGTGTTGTTCCTTTCACCAACAATTATGTGTGTTTACAGGACCGAAGTTTGAAACAGGTGGTTGATACAGGATGTGAGTCTCATGGTCTTTATCACTTCCGTCCCTTTACACATGTTGGTGCAGTTATGGAGTCTCTCTCTCTTCTTCATGCTCAGTTATCCAAGTCTTGCCAAGTTACAGAAGTTTGTCACTGCCTTGTCCAACTTGTCTAGTTTGGCATGTGAGTCGTGTCAATTAGGTAACCATAGTCGTACTTCCTTTCCTCGTAGTGTCACACGTGGTGTTTCGTCCCCATTTACCGTTGTTCACTTTGACATTTGGGGACCTAACCGCGTTAAGTCTACTTTAGGTTTCCAATACTTTGTTACTTTCATTGATGTATTTCAGATGCACTTGGTTATTTTTTATGAAAAATCGTTCTGGATTATTTCATATCTTTCAAACTTTTTTTAATGAAATTCAAACTCAGTTCGATGTTTTTATTAGAGTTTTGCATAGTGATAATGACCGTGAATATCGTTCTCATTCTTTTAAATAATTCATGACTTCTCACGGTATTTTGCATCAAACTTCTTATGTTTATACACCTCAACAAAATGATATAGTTGAATGTAAAAATAAACATTTTATTGAAACTTGCACTCTTTTAATTCATGGAGAGGTTCCTCAATATTTTTGGGGTGATGTTCTTCTTACTGCATGTTATCTCGTTAATCGCATGACTTCTTCGGTTTAAAATAATAAAATATCTCATTCCATTTTATTCTCTCATGAACCATTTCATCCCTTACCTCTAAGAGTTTTCGGGTTTACATGTTTTGTTCATAATTTTAGTTCTGGTCTTGACAAGCTTTCTCCTACATCACATAAATGTGTTTTCTTAGGGTTTACAAGAGTACAAAAAGGATATAAATATTTTTCTCCTTTTCTTAACCATTATTTTGTGTTTGTAGATGTCACATTTGATGAGTTATTTCTTTATTTTAAAAGTCAATCTTTACCTTTGACTCTATCCAATCCTGTCAACACTCCTAGTACATTTAATGTTCTTGTTGTTTGTGACCCTCTCACTGTGTCTTCTTCACCATTAGTTCTTGCTCCGTAGTCAGTTTCTTCTCCACCACCTCTTCAGGTTTATAGTTGCAGAAACCAATCATAACCACCACCATGTGACTCCACTCAAGTGTCAACTATCCTGTCTCCTCCGGATCTGACATTTGAATCTGACTTTTGCATTGCCCTCCAAAAAGGTATATGTTCTACACATAACCCTCTCCCCATTATATTGCTTTGAGTTATCATCAACTGTTATTACTTTTTTATACATGTCTTTTCTCTATTTCTTTTGTAACCATTCCAAAAATTGTCTGTGAAACTTTAGTCCATCCTGGTTGGCGTCAGGCCATGTTAGATGAACTAAGTGCTCTTCATAATAGTGGAACTTGGGAATTGGTCTCATTACCGTCTGAAAAATTTGTTGTTGGTTGTAGGTGGATGTTTGCTATCAAGGTTGGACCTAATGATACTATTGATCGCCTCAAAGCTCGTCTTGTGGTCAAAGATTGTACTCAAATTTTTGGGTTGAATTATG